TATAGTTTAAAAATATCTTACAATATAATTTCAAATTAATAATAGTGAGGATATAAAGACTTATTTTCCTGCATTTTTTTAAAGGAACTACTTTGTTTTGCTCTGAATAGTCTTTTATCATAACATTCCACTCTCTGCTTACAAACATCCAACTCAAAGCTACCCTTTCTTCTATCATTGTTCAATAATGTTAATTCTCATCAGTAATCATTGGCCTTGGGCTTCCCTGGTGGCGCAGTGGTTGAGAGTCCGCCTGCCGATGCAGGGGGACACGGGTTCGTGCCCCGGTCCGGGAGGATCCCACATGCCGTGGAGCGGCTGGGCCCATGAGCCATGGCTGCTGAGCCTGCGCGTCTGTAGCCTGTGCTCTGCAACAGGAGTGGCAACAACAGTGAGAGGCCCACGTACAGCAAAAAAGAAAAAAAAAATCATTGGCCTTCTTATCTGGAAAAAATGATTTTTGTATGCTTTTTGATTCCGAGGATACCTCCACCTCAATCACAATAATTTTAAGTCTAGGGGAGGTAACCTGGGCTTCTAGCAAACATTATATCCCAACAAGAGTTTGGGGCTAAATAATTTTACAAACCCTTAAAAAAAAAAAAAAAAAAAAAAAAAAAAAAACCCCCGTCTTTACATCTCTATGAAAATCAACATTTTGAAGATCTAATGAAACTTCAGTTAAACCTTTGAGACTACGATTACTGACCTTTGGTTCATGTAATTAACAACGAATTTCTTAAAAATCTAGTAATTTCTTAGGAAATATGAAAACATTGAAAAGTAAATGTAAGTTCCACAGAGCTGAACAAGAAAAAAGGCAAAAGATAATTCTAAATGCCAACAACATATACAAAAGACCGTCATTACAACCCAAATATAATATGTGGCTCTGCTCAGGATTTCAATTATATAAATAATTAAACCAAGACAAAGTCAATCACTAAATCCCTGTGAACTTAAAAAACAAAAAGCACACAGGCACACTGCATTTTGTTCATCAAAGCATGATCCTAGTGTAGTTAGAGAACACTTGCAAAACAAAGAAGGATCACCACATAGAGACACGGAGGAGTTTTTTTTTTTTTTCAAAATATTTTATCCTCATAAAAGGATACCATACCATAGGGAAAAAAGATACAATTACAAACATAAAACCGTAGAATTTTTAATCTCCTAAGGAAAAGGGGTTCTTGGTTTTAGGGGTTCTTGTTTTTTCTTTGCTGATAAGGCAAAACAGATCTTTAGATTATCATTTGTTATAAACCTGAGTTGTTTTTTTCTTTAAACTCAAGAATGAAATAAATTAATTTATATTATGCATTTATTCATCTGGAGCTGAATACTATGTTTAAAGCATTAAATTTTAAATCATAGTTTATCTAGATAATGATAAACTTAATGAATTTATTTTTAAAACCCTTTTATTTTGAAATAATTATAGACTCACAAAAAGAAGTTGCAAAAATAGTACAGAGAGATCCTATGTAACCATCCTCAGCTTCCTGTCTTTACATTTAAGCATTTATATTTTGGTTTCAGGGGGATACAATTTTTGACAGTTTATGAAAAAGTAAACAGTTTAAGAAAAATCTAATAACATGGTAAATGTCTATTCCTGGAAGAGGCTCTAAGAAAACATACTACTGACTTCAAATACCACTTTTATCACATGATACTACCTTTAAAAATTGGTTTTCTGAGATACTGTTACCAATTTCTGCCTCTTTTGATGTCTAGTTTTCTTCCATTTTTGCAGACTTCTGAAAATAGTAACTTAGCTCTGATTGAAATAAGCTTCCCCATTCCTTTAAGTTAATATATCTAGCCACATTAAATGAACAGAAATTACAAATGGAAATCAAAATGCTTCAGATTTAACATAAAATCTCGAATCCTCTAGCACTCAAAAAATAAAACAAACATGTCTAGGTTGAAATTTAATTCGTTTGTCAGTGCCAACCTTTTAGGGGGAAAAACACTGTGTAGGAATGACTGTCCTTAAAGGGCTTTTACAGTTTCTTTGGTCTTAGGGGAACGGCCAGTCTTATGGATAACTGATGACAGTTTGTTGATGAAAGATCTTTATCTTATGGGAATTATCTGACCAATTTTCTCATCCTATACTACCAAGAAACATAAGCACAAACATAGTCCCTTTTATCATATCATCCTCCACCATCACTTCCAAAAGAAAGTGGCTCACAGTATTTTAAGACTGTGGACCATTTATCTCAGCGAACTCAAACTTTATCCAAAGCGTATCCTGACAGGTTGCTCAAAAGCTCTCTGCCCAGTCTGGAAAGTTATTCCTTTCCAAGAGCTTCTATATGTGTGGCTGATCCCTGGAGTGGTTTGTGTTCAGTGATAGCTTCCTAGCATCTCATTAGCTTATACCAAAAACCTCAACTAAGTAACCCAGCATATAAATTCTCACTTATCTAAATCATATTTTGCATCTTAGGAAAGATAGTCTGGAAGCATCATGGCCTATATAGCATACAGCTAAAGGCAGTTCAAAGCAGGAATGAC